CGTAGGTCCTTACATATGAAGACGGCAACAGAGTTATCTTCTGTGCGCGGGCAGAGTTTGGCGGCAGTTTGCAAAGGAAGGATCTGTCGAGTTGCGTCTGTTTTGAATCCACAGGCTGGTTTAACACTGCTGCTACCTGCTTCGGTTGCCATGTTGTTGTTGTTGTTGTTGTGTGGTCGAGTGCGGCCTCCGTCCGTACAACGCAAATCACACACAGGTGTTGCTCACCGCGCTCCCACGGGCCAGGGTGGTCATGTGTCTGGCAGAGGGCAAGTATGAATTGCAGGGTCTTAGGAGGCAACAGGAACTTTGGCGTATGACGTGACTCATAGATGACTGAGCAGCAGGAAGTTTGTGCCTCATGTATGAACACTACATTCAAACCACAAAGCTAAGCATTCAGTTTAATGAAAAACAAATATCAACTAATCTTTCATATTTTTTATTATCAGTTATAAAAAGTACAGATATGCCTTTTCTGGCTATCATCTTTGTTTGGATTCCGAAAACAATGCACAACTTGAAGGGCTATTTTCACTGATCAAAATTATCAAACATTATCTCTACATTTTGTCACAGTGTGATAAATCTAAGCATTCTACGACTACCATCTGTCTTTCGTCTTCTTGGTTTCATTTAATTTTAGCTTCCATTACTTCCTCCTCTCCTTTTCTTTGCCAGTCTCCCCCATACTACAAAATAAAGAAGAACTTGTTAGTTAAGCAAAAATTTTGCTATTTTACACAGATGCTCATGTTTAAATGTTGTCCAACTGAAGTACTTATACTGCTGTAATAATTACCACATAAACATTTGCATAGCCAGCACTAATGGTACATACACCATATGAACCAAACTATATTGTGCATAATAACAGACATGCTGACTGTAACATCTGGCCACAAAATGTAACTATTGGGCAAATTCATGGCATTATAATAATATGAATTGTAAATTAACAAACAAATCAGCACATAACCTGTTATAGTTGATAACTGCTTAAACTTACTTCTGCTTTTGTATGAAACTGACATCTTTCTGGATATAAAAACAAATGCATCGACCCAGTTCCACACTCTTTCCAGTCTTACTGCTTTGATTCTCTACAACTGTTAACACAAACTGACAAATGTAAACTACTACGCTATAATTTTCTCCCAAAGCTGATACCTGATTAATTGTAATTACTTTTCTGTCATTATGGTGAAGCTATTGAGAGAAAGCCTGTCTTGTGATGAACTCTAACTGATTAAAAATAAATCACAGCGCAAACTACACCTGTGCAAGCTCTGGTTCAGCTGTAATCAATTAAATACAAATATTCCACAAAGTTAAATTTGAGTATTTCTGTGCCATAATTCAAACCTATTATCCAGTTCAAATCATTACACCTTTGTAACTTAACAATTGTTTAGGAGTACAGACAATTGTGACAAGTGTTTCCTACTTTATTATTTGTTCAGGTATTGTGTTATTCAAAAAACAATCAAGTATAAAAAGCTTTGTGCACATACAAACACATACACACACATACGCACACAGGGTATTCAAACAAGTGGTGACAAAGAGGTTGTATGCTTTCTTTCTGCTCCAAAGAACCCAGTTTGTTTAAATACACAGCTTAAAGTGGTACTTAGCTGAAAGAGATCACAATCCCTGACTAATGGTTTAACAGCACAAAACCCCACCTAGTCTAACACAACTGGCAGAACTGAATCCAAACCGCCACGAAAGCACACAGTGAGGACACGGCCATCCAACTCATTTCTAAAATGTGAAAATTAGTCAGAGCCTACCATATTGACATGTGCACAAAGCCAGGATGCAAATTCAAGTTTCATCCTTGTTTTATTTGAAATGGAAACACAACTAGCTGTCTTCCAGTGGCTGCTTTGGATGGAAGGCAAATGTGTTTTCTTTCCCGGGGAGAAGGCTGTCCAGAGTCACAGTTCAGCTCATCAGCGATAATGGCAAGCCTTTTCCTGGACTGATTTAAAGTGACTCTGTTAGGTTAAGACAAAAAGGATTTATATCGCTGAAGGATAAGGACCTTTCAACTTCAAAATTTTGACAAGAGACTAATGAAATTGAGCCCTGAATGGTTAGTATTTCAGTTTATATTTTATCCTTTTTCCCCAGTGGCTGTATTTCAAGAAGGCTTTCTTAGCAGGCATGGCCCTTACTTGACCTTATCAATTCATGCACAGTTACTAAACCTCTCAGTGTAATGGAAACAACCAAAGAAACTACTGCATATAAATTGTTTCACCGCAAACCACACACATTGTGTTGCCACTTAAAATTCACCTCAATGTATGATGCTCTATCAAATATGCATGCCCCTTTCCCCCCCTTCCCATCTTGCTCATCAATAGCTATCGACTGGTTCTAAAATAGCAATCCAAAGTCACCCATGGTGAAATCTAACCTCTGGGTTTTGTTATTTGCGTCAACGTACCGGTGAGAGTGTGCTGCGGCGATTGCTTGCCATTTCTCATTAAGAGCGACAGCAGAATTGGCCTCTCTTCCATTAGTGGAGATCATGAGGGAGAAAGGGAGGGGAAAAGAGATGCTTCATGTGTGTGAGAGAAAGAGAGTGATAGAGAGGAAGAATGAGAGACGGGGGGATAACAAAAGAGTGCGAGAGTAAGAGAGTGAGATAAGAGAATCAGAGAGACAAAGCCATGATAGAAAGACAAACAAAGAGATAAAGTGAGGGAATGGAAGAGAGAGAAGTTGGGGGTGGCAGCACAGGAAGCTGCCTCCTCTGACTATTCTGAGGGTTTCTTTGCCGCTCTGCCTTTGAGGCCTCGCTAGTGTCACATTAAGATCATCCATTTGAGGATCTGAGACAAGCCTTTGATGTTCTTTGTGCATACACAAACAGGAGAGTGGAGTGCTCCTTTGACAATTGCCAACTCTACAGAAATATCTTTTTGTATTCTGAGTCTCTGGCCTGCTAGGGACAATGTTATCATCAGAGGGTGCAGCGCAAACTGGTGAATTATTTAATTCACCTGTTCATATTTCATTACTGAATACATTAAATTTATATTTATATAATTTTTTCATACTTGCACTAAAACATTGTGGGAAACATGTTTCCCAACCCCTTGCTGTCATTTCTTTTTATTTATTTTTTTGCTGCTTGGCAGGTGGACAAAATAACTGAACAGTGTAGGAATATCAAAAACCTACCAAGAAGTTAAATCTAGGGCTTAGTAAAAATGCAGTGCTCTTAAACAAGTTTGTGAATTTATGCAGATGGATAATGTAACACTGTACAAGAGGGAAAAGTGTCTTGTTCTTCTAGGACTGAAAGTGGTTGAAAGCCACTTCCCATAGACATTCAAAGATGCGTACATCCAGTGAGTGAAGTGGCTATGGACTACAGACTCATCACACAACTGGGAAAATAGTTTTTTTTCCTTGATATATATAAAAAAAGATGTCGTCAGGATCCAAAAAGCCTTGTATTCTTTGTCTGTTAACTGACCAGCTGACAGAACTTGGCTGGTCTACAATGGGAATAAGCCTCAGGGCATTTTTAAGGTGCTTTTATCTTTTTTGATCATTTCTATGTTTTGAGCATCCCTGACCTTATGGGCCTATTATACTGTAATGATCAATAAAAAAAAAAAAAAAAACTTCAATAAGCCATTGAAATCACCAATTAGCATAGTAACAGTATGATAACTAGTCTTCATGGCCAGTGTATACCCCACCTCTTGCTGGACTTTGCTCCAGTCAGTGGACTTCATCATATAACTTATCACTATAAGATGGCTGCCTACAGTATACAGTACAAATCTACCACTACGGTGTTTTGAGCAGTTGGCAACATGTATTATTATTCTGAGGTTTAGTAAACTCAAAGATGATTTCATTGCACCACGCAACCTTTCCCTGTGCTCATGGGTCTATTTTCTGATCTCCTCATACAAGGGCATGTGCATGAGGGCTTTTTCTGAATGACAGCTCCCATAATTAATGGTTTTGTTAAGCTCATAATATACATATTAGTGTTTTTCTCGCCTTTCTTTCTCCACAATGGCCAATTCCTATTGTACTGCAGTTGTTATAACTGCTTACTCTTCTGTTGGCCTTGGTAGCGAGGTAGGCAGCCAAGTTCCTTCTCAAACACACAAGAGTCCACCAGCGCTCATCAGGAGGCTATGAAGCCATTTCAGCTGCAGACACCCTAAACAACTAGAAGAAATTGCAAGTGTAGTGACATGGGCATGATCCTTCACTGGCTTCTCACTCATGAATACAGAACTTGTATTTGTTGGAACGCACAACCTGCCACCTGGGGACTGAATCAGTTTTTCTGTTTTCTGCCAGTGCTTTGTGGAAAGTTATGCTGTGCAGTTTAGAGGTGTTTAGCAAATACTCTAATGTGGGTTTTGTTTTCAATTCCTTAATTTATGCAGAATGCTTCCCTAACCATGTCAAATAAGTCTCTCACTGATGCATCAGCAGTTTGGCCTCTGATTATTTCGCCTCTTTGGATCACTGTCAGATGCCTCATGGCGCTTTGAAAACTATGAAAAGGCTAACCCTTAGCACTCTTTAGAATCTGAGTCATACTGCTACTTGGCATTCAACTTAGCACGACTGACCTGTGTAGCTGCCTTTGTAATTGTGATGCTGTTATCACCTCCAAGCTAAATTTCTTTTTCAGGTGGTGTTTTTGTCCAGTAGACATGCAGATGTAGATTTTAAAAGCAGACACACTGACACGCACCCACCCACATACAGATTTTGCAACCATAATAGACACTCAACTTTCACAAAACTGATGACTAGGATACAAGAAACCACCTCTACTGGTGATATGTGGGCACCCAGTAGGCTTAACTGTAGTAACTGTATCAAGAAGACTGCAGCAAAAATGAGAAGACTTTTGAGAGCACAAACCCCCACTCACATCCACGACACTCATCCCTCTGACTCTTCACCTCTCCAGTTTGCCACAAGCAAGTAGAATGACAACTTACGAATGAGAGGCACACTGGCATTAGCCGTCCCTAGATTGTTGGAGGCGACACATGTGTAGTTCCCGTAACGATCCTCTGTCATGTTGGTCACTGTGAGGACTGATCTGGAGCTGAGGCTCTTGATGTCGATGCCTTGACCCTTGATAATCCTGAAAACAGAAACAATCACAACAATGAAGCCTTTATTTCTCACCTACACACAAAGTGTCGGGGGGGTGGCATGAGTCAAGGACGGTACAAATGTTTGTCATCCTTTAGTGGATCTTCAGATTGTATAGTACTTCATCACCCTCTTCAACAAATCTATTTATCCCTTGGTCTGTCGCCATTGCCTCGGAGAGAAGCTTTGAAGGACTGAGAGGAGAGAGAAATGACCCAGAGGTGAACCAGCTGGGTGCCACTTGACATGTTGTTCATCGTTTTGTTGCAGGTGCAGGGGGATTACAATAAATCCTATTCCAGTTGTGGCTGGCATCTGTGCAGTGAAATTGACAAATGTTAAATGGTTTACTTTGGTGGTCGTGATGATCTTTAGCAGCCTGTAGAAATTAAAATTCACTCTGTAACGGCATATGCTGTGCAACCTGATGGTGAGATTATCGTAGATATTACAGCTGGGTTTGTTTTCATCACTGTGGTTTCATATTTGGCATTATAAACCATAAAAACCTCCAGAGAGGAGGCATGTTTCTCTTGGCCTTGCTGTGGCCCCCCATGATCTCTAGCTTGGCTCGAGTTGCTCTGAGAGGCACTATGAGTTGAAACACTATGTGTGACCTTATGTCCAGCAAATATCCGCAAATCTGTTGTTCCCTCTCCCATGGCGAACTCCTCAAATGTTAGCTGAACATTCACTGATAATCTCGGCGGGTGTCTCGCCTCTTCACTAGTTCAACATCAAACTAGTCAATGCTCCTCTCTGTCATAGTGAAAGAAACCCCAATCTCTGCATACACACACATAAACACTCACCCACTTCCATTCAAGAATAAAAGCAGTGACACATCAAGAGAAAGATTTGCTTGTCAAAACTGTCACACAACTTCCAACAGAGACAAACTGGGAGCAGCACTGCACTTATGGTATGGCGGCATCAACACAGAGCCAATATAAGAAGTGGCCTTCATTTCCCATTCACGGTAAATGGGCAAAAGAGTCGTCACCGCCAGTGTTAATGTTGTACAGATGCTACATACATTCTGTGCTTAAGTCTTTATAATAATGTCCTTTTCATAATGAGGAGTAAATGAACAAATCACCATTTAGCCATCTAAGAAGTCACTGAAAGAACAAGTCCTTGAATTAAGTAAAGACTAGAATCATGCCAACTTGCCTCCTTAGCAATTTGAATAAATCGAATCCACCCCATAATTACAATTAGCACAGTGTGAGCTGATGATTGAAATTGTGCTCACCAGGAGTGGGTAATGGGGGTAATTTGGTTTTTAAATTCAAGAACTGACACTTGAATCTAGACTGATTGATGTATGTGCCGTGGATGATTTGAGCCAGTTGCCAGCAAACATTATATTAGGATGCAAGGTGAGGACGAGGCACAAATTACTCTTCCTGGAGCATTCAGGTGGGCTCTCCCCGGAGGCCGGACTAATGGGAGAACAAGTAAATGTATTGCCTCTGGGAAAGAGCAAACAAACAAAAACCACACCCTGCTTCACACATTCATGCTTACTTGTCCACAAACAAGAATGACTTAATAATTGTCCAATGTCAGCGTGGAAGATTTTAGTTCAGAGTCCAACTTTAAACACTACCTTTACACTGCCCCATGCACCTCAGTGCAAAACATAATTATAAATAATAATTAGCATTTGTTGGTTGTATATATGCCTCCAATACAGGTTTATTGTGTAATATTTTGCTCCAGGACAATTACGGTTCTGTCAACTCAACAAAATATCTTTTGTTTTCCACGGATTGTTTAAACTTCATATCCACTTGGTAATTACATGAGCTAAAACGAACACTTAATTTCACCTACAGTACATATAACCAACTCGTATCCATTCATATTCATATTGGTGGACTAACCTCTAATGTCCGCTGGATGTCTACTGCTGGAGATACAGCAGTTTTCTAATATACAGCTAATCAGGAAACACAGGTGCAAAATACAGGTAAGATTGTATGTGTGTAAAGTAATTAAGAGTTCAGCCACACAAGTAAATTCTACCAAATAAATGAATTGCAAACGTACTGTCACACACTGTAAAAAAAAAACAGCGGACATTGGAACTGCACCTGAGCCATGATGTCATGCGACTTAAACACGACACACCTGCATCCAGTGAACATCTGGGTGATGCTGCCAATACACTTAATCATACGGCATATACAATCAAACTGGGCTCACCTTTTCTCGCCCTTGTACCACTCGAATGTCGGAGAAGGGACAGCAGCTGCCTCACACCTTAGCAGAGCTGTGCGTCCCAGACCAACTCCATGGCTTTTCATCTCATGGATAGAGGGGGCAACTGAAAAAAAGCAAAGAAATGTTGGAAGGTTACACACCAGCACAAGGAATATTTAAAGGAAAATAAGTAATGATAATAAGACAAGGAGCACTGATGAAGGAGAGTTGCTGAACTTGAAAATGACAGCCTCCAACATCCTAGTCAGTGTACACATTACATAGTGTAAACTCAACACTCAGAGCCTAGAGGTGGAGTTGGCGAAGGGGGAGGGCATCCATCCCCAATGTTAGGAAAATGAAATGAATTGCACTGCATGGTGATAAATGGCTTAATGGAAGTTCAAAGACTCAATGGCACAGACAGGTTCTGTGAATGCAAAATGAGGCTCCTTTCATGTGCTGGAATGTGGTGTAAATCTCTTTGCCAGTGTCATGAAGGCAGCTTTTACATATGGACAGTTTCTAAAGCAGCCCTGTCCTTTTGTACTTCCAGTATTTACCCTGCTTATAGTAACGCAGCCTTGAAAGAAATGAAATTAATGAATTGAAGTTATATAGACTTACAACAATAGCATTTTGTTGAATAGAGTATATGCTTGGACAAAACCTAGCAGACAAAAAATAAAAAAATAAAAAATCCAGCACTCTTACCATTCCCTTAGTCACATAATGGGAATAAAAATGTTTCACTTGTTACATTTGTAATTATTGGCCGTTATCAGAGTATTACTGAATTCATAACCTTTGGAGGGTAAACCAAATAAAATGACCCTCTGTAAGAGACTGAGGACAAATGGTGCTTGCTGCAAGTAGCACTTTTACTCAGAACTAAATGCATACAGGGTTATACCCACTGGTATTATCGTGACTGGTTTCCTGCTTCTCCATTAATCAACAGTGGCAAGCAAACAGGAGAACCAATCATAACAAGGCACAGGGCTCAATCTGACATTGTATATTGTGTAAATTTGGCATGACTCCCCAAAGCCTGACAAATAATAAAACACACAATCAGATGCACAGCGGTCTGACATACAATACCAGCAAAATTACTTTGTGCCATTCATACAGATTCTGATTAAAAGCTGACGATACATGGAAGAAGCCAACACTCTTCGGGTCAGTCCTGCAGCTAGCAGTAAATTCCCCACCCATGTCTGAAAGTGAGATGTGGACTATTTATATCCTTGACAATGAGCCTTTAAGAGCGAGCTGTCAATCAGAGCTAAAGCCTGTATCCAGTGGAAGGGCTTGGCCAAGAGCCTCCAAACCTTTACTTTCAATTGCATTTGGAGATGTTCCTAACGGATGACCTCTGAGTGCAATGACGCAGCTCTGGACAACACAACCCCAAGGTACTAACTGGCATCACACTCCCTAAACCGCAAACAGTGACACATTAATCCAATGTCTGAATAGTCTATTCCTACTGAATAATAATAATTATAATTATAATAATAATAAAAGTAGCGCATGCTTCATTATAGCACATGCTGCATATACATTTTTGTAAGACAGATATTGCCAATGTCTGAGCTTCATTTTAATGAAGAGAATCCAGTATAGGCGCAGTGTGTCTCTCTGCCAACCTGTGAGAGGCCACAGAGATAGATGAGGTGGGCTGCAACAGATCTGTGCAAGGTGAACAAGACACATCTGAGCATTTGAACATGTGGTGTATGATCATGTAGGAGAGGCACACTGAGGTGACAGTGTGCTCTGTGATGATAGATGCCCTTCCACCAACCTTCTTCTGCATCCTAATGAGCATGTTCGTATGACTAGTGTATGTAGATTTTCCGTCCTTGCACATGTGCCAATTATGCAGTTATTTTCCCTCTTTTGTGGCTGGGCTGAATAATCTGAAGGACTTGAGACAGTGAATACAGTGGTGGGTTATGCTAGGGCTTTTCCTGTTCATATATCACTGTTTGAAATGTTGGATGCCATGCTGGGGGGTATTAGTAGACCTTGACTGAAAGTCTGTGCTGGCTGCAATTGTGTGAGCAGGCTTTAGGTCTGTGCACCGTTGCATTTATGAAGCATCCAAACTCGAAGTATGAATACTTCTCTGACTCAATCTTGCTTCAGAAACTTCACACATTTTTTTCAACCTCCTCAAAATCAGTTTTAATCAAAAACGGCATTGATGGTAATCACACCATAAGCAGGCCCCCATCAGCATCTTTGCAGAAGAGCTACAACAACCTGCAGCAAGGAATAAGAGGGTTACTAACGGTTGTGATGAAGTAACATCAGTGTTTTGCGTTTGACAATTTGCACCAGAGAAGAGCTATACAATACTTAAAGAAATGGAAAGGAACAGAGAAAATTGCAACAGTGCTCTACAGCACAGAAATATAAGCCAATAACAAGTATGACAAAATCAATGCAGTATGCTGACCGACAGAGGCTTAGTGAATCCTCGTAATCCTCCATTGGTGTCATTGTGCGGAGCCATTGATTATCTGAAGCCTCTGAAAGCGCCAGGGTGACCTGGCTGTCGCGCTGTACACATGCTAGGACAGTGGACATAGTGGTCCAGGCAGCATGTGTCAATACTTGAAACCTCACACATAGAGCTACTGTCTTTTATGTTAAAACTCAGAACACAAAACCACTACCATCTAAATTTGCTCCTTTCATGTAGCTGTTGTATTGCCTTTTTGGAAGCTGGAGCATTTTGATCTGTTCCCTTTTATTTATTACCAAGTGGATCCGCTATTTGCCAAAAAGAACACTGTGCTTTCTTTATCAAACTCAAAGGATTTCCTATTTATGGTTAACCTTGATTACTGTCCTCTTATTACAAGTTAGTTAAAATCATAGCATGCATCCCAGTGCTGTAACTATGGGGTGGTAACTTTGAATATAAGCCCTGATTTCTCCTAAAATGATCCGGTGTCAGACCAGGCATATAGATTATCAATCATCATCTATCACCTCTTATAAAAGTTTACCAGACTATTTGGTTTATTCAAATGGCCAGAATTCAAAAGTAGTTTGGGCTCAAGTAAATGTCCCTCTCACCACTCAAATCATATAACCAATGCAAGATTTTGGAATAGAGAAAAATATCCCCCATAGTTTTGTAGGTGGTCCAAAATGCTCTGATTTTATATGCATATCGATAATATCAAGTCTTTCCAATTTAGATCCTGGCACTGGGATCTGTTAAGACAGATCACACCCATAAAATCCAGTCCAATCCAATAATTCCAATTTTAACTTGCTGGCATGTCCTATATCATCATATATTGTGCAACACACCATCAGGATTTGGAGAGTAATGCAAAGTAGTGCACTAAAAATCATGAAGGCCCAATAATCCAGGTAATTTAGTGTCTGGAGAATGCTGTGGTGGTGCTGTAAATCATGTCTGGAGTCATGGTGACTCCACCAGATGGGGGTGAGGGGTTGGGTCCAGGAATAGCACAGGCATGGCAGAAAAATGGGTGCTCTAAGGCCCTGCCGGGTGACAAATGGCCAGTTGTGGGTCGATCACACACCGACTTCCACTACATCTGCATTATGCAGAGCTTGTCATCAAAACAAAGATGACGACTCTAATTGTACATCTCTCCAAAGTACATGAATAGAAGCATGTTAATGATGAATAAAATGTTTGACCTTCTCTCCATCTTTTATTAATGGACAGGGTTTGTTTAGAAAGCATCTCACCTTAATGCACAGGGTTTCATTGAGTCGCATGCCTAAAGCAAAACTCATGTGACTCTCATGTGACTATTAATGATTAATTGGTGTGCTTCAAAACTGAATATGATTTATTTAGCTACAAACTATTGTTTGCCAAGAGAACCCATAGAACGCAGGCTTTTTAATTAAAAGATCAATTAATAACCCCACCTCTACAGCCAGATTTGAAAATGAGTTTTCATTGCAATTAAGAAATGGACTCATCAGTGCATGACTTATCAGCTTACACACAGAGACACTGTTCCCCACTGCCATCTGTGGGCTTCATTGTCCTGTATTTTGTCGGTCAGGAATGGTTCTGCTGCCAAGATTTATTAATTAATTAAGATTTCTATTCAGAACAGCTAGGGAACATTGTGTTCCTTCTTTTTATACAATACAAGGCATATAAATAACTGGCTTAGTGTGCAGGACTGTGTGGCTCGACAGCGCCGGGGATTCAATCTATTGTCTGAGTTTTACACTAAATGGTTTAAGGTACACAAATCCCCACCTATCTAAAACTAAACTCACGTGTGAGACGGTGGGGTTGCTCTGATGAAGACCGCGCCACAACCAGGAAAAATGGAGTTCAGTAAGTGACCATCAGCTATGTAAACAAACACAACATACATTTTTTATAGATGATATTTGATGTTATGCAATGATAATGTTGCCTTTTGTCACCGTTATGAAGTTATTTTTATCAGTCACAAAAAAAAACTCCACATCAGGCTAAAAGATGCCGTCGCTGTGTGTGTCAATCTGTTTTGAAGTGGTACTACTAGATCAAGATTCTGCTCACTTATTCATGCCCTGCATGCAGCAAGGAATCCAAATAGCAATCAAGACGAGAGCTTTGGAGAAATGTAGAGAGATGGATTTACATCCAAACAGCTCGAGGGTACTGGCTTTAACTCTACTTAGGATTGGATCAGAATCCAATTCTAGGAAGCCTTCTCTTTTGAATTGTAAGTCACAGTATTTCAATGGATACTGCAAACTGTCGACAAATGCTCAACTGAGACTCTGTGCCCGATGTTAAAATACTCCCAATAATAGATTTCATTGAACTGTGGAATGAACATTCATTCTACTTTTGATCCCCCGGTGCAATCCACCACTGCACTGAGGCACACACACACACACACATGCACACACAGTATGTAGGACATGCATTCTATCAATGATAATGTTGTGTACAGCTATGCAAATATTATAGTGTATAATGATTCTTAAAAAAAAAAAGCTAATACTGTGCAAACATGCTCATGCTCCACTAATTGTTGTTTACTTTCTTGTCGTTACTTGACATTGTGATGTTGGGTGGTCATGAAGATGTGTTTCCTGACCACAAGTAAACAA